TAAGCACTACTGTCCTTTAGAGGAACTGTCCTTATGAACATAACATGGAAGGTACCTTGTAAAGATCTTCTTCTGTGTTGTTTCAGAAGTTATTTTTGCGATGGTAGAGGGGCAGACTTCTGCCGTACTGCAAAGGGCTTCATAGAATCCTTCCATAGGAAGTGCTAAGACCTGGGCACAAATGAGACACGTGAGTATCTCCTTACAAGCATCATCTATTTGAATCTATTCCTCAAGGGATTTAGGGCTTTCTAGYATGAACTCTTATCACAGAGGCCTATCTGAAACTACTCTAGAACCAGGGGGAGAATATTTGGAATACAGTGATATCTAACCCATCTCACCTTTTTCATTTCTTCGTAGGTAAGGAAGAGTATATTGAAATCCTGAGCATGGCTGTACCAGCCTGTAACGTGATCCACCCATGAACCACCCAGGACTTACGCAGGAAGATAATAATATATAAAAAAACAAACAAAAAAAAGAGAGCGAGAGAGAAATGCAATTAGCAGGATAAATACTGTAGATTTATAATGTTTTTTGGTACCTCCAGTACTTCGGAGGACAGAATTGTAAGATTCAGTGATTTCCTTGGTCTTTTTTTTTTTTTTGAGGCTTGGCAGGTAGTTGTGCTCAAAGGGACACAATGTCGAAGGGGTTTGGTAGTGAATAGCAAACTATTTCGTGTGCATGCAGCGGTTATTAAGAATTCACTATTTCCTTCTACGTCTTCGGAAAGGTTCTTTTAAGGTTGCATATTCTGCTATTCTGAGAGATTTCTTTCTGATATTTTGACACATGATCACAATGTTTGGGTGACAATCCTGCATGCAGATGAGGTCAAACTGATCTGCTTCCCGGTTGTGTCACAGCGCATATTTTCTGTGTGCATGTCTAATTGGGAAAGAATAAGTTCCTTGCACTTTGCTGCAGAGCAGCAAATCTCTGCCTATCATATCCCCTTTGAGCATCATTTGCCAACAGAAAATGGTCTCAAGCTCAAGTCACCTCCACAGCTTTGCATTCAGGTTCCTCTTGGCTGAGAACTCCGGGTTGGTGACACTGATTGCTCTAATGGATCTCCATTCAGCCTCAAAGTAGGCAGTGGGATTTGGGCTTCTTAGCAGGATACAAATCTTACCTTTGCCAGCTAAAAATCTCTCTAAGAAAAGGTTGAAATCTGATACTTCCTCTAGTGTGTACATGATTTTGGAAAAGTGAAAATATGAAACCACAACATCCTTGGGGTTCCTGGTAACATAAATAACCTGCAAAAGAGACAACAACGTTAGTCTGAAAATGGGAGATCCATTACGCTGACTCTCTATGTAGTTTTCTGTGGCTATCCTTACATAACCTGTGAGAAAACAGCTTGGAGATGACAAATATGATAAGTCAATTCCAGATAATGTTTCACCATTGTTTTGTTTAGAGCAGGTGACATTTCCCTGTGGAGTCCTTCAATACCCATGGCTACCTATCGTGAAGAGATCAGGATTACACATGTCAGTGCTTCTATTCGTCTTGGCAAGGCAGTGAGGTGTGGACGAACAGTGGTAGAAAATCGTTGGAACTTGCTTGGAAGGAAAATCAATTTCAGCTTCATCTTCATTTTTGCCTTGATTTAGGTTTAGATTTTTTGATGAAATTAAAAAGATTTTCCTGGCATTTCCAGCTTCTGGGCAGCACTAACCTCACCAGGRGCCTCAGCGAGCTCGCAGAAGCACAGAATGGATGAGGTTGGAAGGGACCTCTGGAGATCATCTAGTCTAAACCCCTGCTCCAGCAGGGATACCAAGCAGGATGGGAAGCAGATGCCAGAGGCAGCAGGCAGGCCGGTTCTGGAGACTGACAGGTAAGAGGAATCCCCGTGATCATACTTACACGTGCTCTTTTGTTTCTCAGGTCTCTTGGAGTTAAGTAGTAAGGTAGGTGAGTGGCAAAGACACGAGGTGCAGGAAGAGCTGCATAATCCATATTTTTAATATTGTATTCCAGCCATGGGATTCTGTCCATGTTCTCTACGTCCTCCGTTCCATTACGGTGGCCTTCATAAATTACTAAACTCAAAATATTCTGAGTCCACACAGTTCCTGAGAAGGAAAATATTTTATTTGGACCTTGTTTGTTTTTCATTTCTTTCTTTCCTTGTTCTAAGCTCGTATATAGAGCCTCTTCACAGATGTGAGATAGAAGCACTTCTTACCAGACCAAAGAGACCCAGCACAGTCTGGGATACTACCTGCTGAGTGCACAAGGCAAACATAGCTTTCTTTAGTCACTGCAGAAATGTTATGTTCTCTAAGTAAGCATTTTGTTTCTTTACCCACTGTATTCAAAACAAGCTACATGTGTCCTCAGGCCTTGTTTCCAAGTGAATTCCTGCATCTCTGTGGACCCCAGATCTAAAACTCTCTCCTGCTGAGGGGCTCTAGAAAATATGGTCTCTCCCAGGAACCCTGCCAGCTGTTGTGAGATGTCATGAAACCTACAGCTAATAATGCCAAGTTTGTAAGGCACTGATGAATCCCACAAATGCAGCTGCTTCCACCAAGCAGATCCCAAGGTTTCCTAGGGAAATTCTGTTTCCTGGGCTATGGTGCCTCACTGTRCCTCCAGCATGAATGGTGTGTTGGGGGAGRATGGTGCAAGGTGAATGCTGAGTACCTGACTCATCTGGGTAATTGGAAGAACCATTTAGCCTTCTCAAAGTTGCATTGTGTGGCCTTTTTCCCCCTTCTATACTACATTTCCTGTTCTGTACTAGAGTGTGGTCCAGTTCCTTCCTCCCAGTGTTTTTCACACCAGTAAAGATGGACACCTGAGAGAATTGAAGTCCATGCAGAAATGMTTGCATAGAGTAAGCTTGCTCTGAGTGCCTCTACAGGGCTGAGATCCAAGAATGATGAAGATTCARATGGACACAAGCAGGAGCCCCAGACCTGTCTTATCAGGCCATGGCTCTGCCCCATATTTCTAACAAACACAGATCCCTCTATGGATGCTTTATTTTGTTTGATTATTTGCTTGATCTTTTTCATATGGTGGCAATTATGTTCTCACCTGATTTTGGAAAAGTAGCTAAGAAAACATCACTGTCTCTGATTTCAAATGTCTCCAGGGAATCAATGTACTCAGGTGTAGTTTCTTTTGCTGCAAAATAACATCCTTTGTGGTTGAATAGATACTCTTTGGAGGGTTCCATTGTGTCTCTTGCAAATGGATAACCTGCAACGAGAAAATACAAAGATACTCTTTTTTCTTGTGTTGCCATACTACAGAAAAAAATGAACAAGTAAATAAAACTGTATTTCAAAGAAGAATGTCCACTGCCAGATACAGATATATTTCAGCAAATTTTCTGAAGAAGAGTGCTCAGAAATATAGCTTTCAGATAGGCACAGATATATTCCAAATGATACGTTCCTCATGAGAAGAAAGTGCAAGGAAGAGCATGTCCCCTTACTCACTCACACATGTAAGCTCCATGGAGTTATGAAGAGATGTAACTGAAAGCAGCCTGTGTAAAAATGTCTTGTCAAAGCTGCTTCAGAAGCTGAGAGATCCTAAAGTTTTCCTTGGGGTCCCACTAACTCCACAGGAGAGCTAGCGTAACTAGCACACACCCAGCTTACCCCCGAGCATGAAGCTCCAGCCACCCCTACACCCAGGCGCAACAGCCGTTCAACAGCCACTGCTCGCAGCCTGTCCCCAAAGA